GAAGCCTAAGACGCCTGACGCTTGCTATTTTCAGACCACCGCCGAAAGCCTGAAACCGAAGAGCTGCTATCTATAGAACCCCAAACCCTAAACCCTGAACCCTAAACCCTAAACCCCAAGCCCTAAACCCTGAACCTTCAACCCTAAACCCTAAATCCTAAACCCTGAACCCTGAACCCCAAACCCTAAGCCCTGAACCCTAAAACCCTAATTCCTGGTCGACTCTACACCCCCCAAAGCCCTTAAAGGCAAACTCAACCCGGCTATGCATGGTTTAGGGTTTAGGGTTTAGGGTTTAAGGATTGGAGTTTAGGGTTTAGGGTTTAGGGTTTATGCTTCCTGTGTCCCTGCTGGACGTCCCTACACCTTCAACCCCAAATCCCTAAGCCCTGCCTCCTAACTCCTCAACCCCTTCTAAATGTAGAACCCATAAAACTCACGAAAACGAAGGCACTGTTTGTTGCGTTCTAGGGCGCGGTAATTCGCTTCATGGTTGGTTTTGAAAACCCTTCCCTTCCACAAAATCATGTTTTTTTAGTCTAGAGCAGGCAAACTACTCTTTGCAGCCAGCTCAAAATGCTCTTCATTGTTCCGGGCTTGTTGTTCCATCCTAGAACCTAAAGTTTGGGGATGAAGGGCTCAGCGTAACATGGAAAGAGAGAAATGAACCCTGACAACTTCCGAAACCCCTAAAACCCTAAACCCCTAAATCCACGAACCCCTAAGCCCCCTGAAATCCCAAACCTCTAAATCCCTAAACCCTAAACTCTTATAAAAGCCCTCCTTGATCTTGACAGAATCCTGATAGAAACAAAAACCACAACAACCAAAGTAGCCAAATTGAAACCCCCCAAATCCCTAAACCCCAAACCCTAAAACCCTACTAAAGCCCCTAAAACTCCCCAAACCGTAGCAAAATTCATGTCCTAAGGCTCCGTTGTGGGAGCGGGGATCTTCGCTTCTCCCTCCGCGTCGGAGCTGCCCCTCGGGGAAGTCTCGTCTGGGAGGGGAGCCGCTGAGTCCAGGGAGTCCCTTCCTGTAGGATTTAAGGTGTCAGGGTTTAGGACTTTAGGGCTCTTTAGGGCTTTATAGGGCTCTTTAGGGCTTTATAGGGCCCTTTGGGGCTTTATAGGGCTTTAATTGGGGCTTTAATTGGGGCTGTGATTAGGGCTTTAATTAGGGCTTTATTGCTTTAAGGCTGTAGGCTTTGATGCTTTAGGGGTTTTGGGTTCAGGGTTTTAGGCTTTAGGGTTTTGGGGTTACCCCGAACCCTAAGCCTAAGCCCCGAGCCCCGATGCCTGGAGGCTGCCGCGTGAAGTGTAACAGCTCGTGGTGGACGAGGAGCTGGCCCTTCACAGAGGGTGTAGGGCTCTAGGGTTTTAGGTTTAGGGTTTAGGGTTTTAGGTTTAGGGTTTAGGGTTTTAGGTTTAGGGTTTAGGGTTTGGGGCTCAGGGTTTAGGGTTTAGGGTTTTAGGGGCTCCAAAAGCCTGTTACTTTAGTAATTTAGTATTCTTCAAGGGCCTAACCCTTCACAAAGACTCCAAAACCCTTTCTTCAAGGCTCTGTCAGGGCTCCTTTCGGGGCACATAGGGTGGTACAGGGTCTTTGTAAGGGTCAGGAAATAGACCTTAAATCGTACATTTGCACCCTTGCTATGATTCAACATGTCTTCCTGGACTGAGGGGGTTTTGGTAACCCCTAAACCCTCTATCCTAAACCCTAAACCCTCAACCCTAAACCCCAAACCCTCAACCCTCAAACCCTAAACCCGGCGCCTCCATGGCAGATCGGACTTTTCCTCGTCGAGGCTTTCGTTTCGCCAGCTCGTTGGCGGCCATCCTCCAGTCGTTTTGGGGCTTTTTTTGTCAGCGCAGGCTTTGTAGTTGCTTTTGAGGATTACATACTGTTCGTGGGTTGAGGGCTTAGGGTTTAGAGTTTTGGGGCTTAGGTGCTCCAGGGTTTAGGGCTTAGGTGCTCCAGGGTTTAGGGCTTGGGTTTAGCGGGTTTAGGGTTTAGAGTGCTTTGGGGGTTTAGGGTGTGATAGAATACCGTTTCTTACGTTTCATCATGCGGATGCTGCTGCGAAGCCGAAGGTCAATACGACTCATGTTCCTCCTACCAGGTCCGGTTCCGAGACCGGGGATTACCCTTGCCTAAACCCTAAAAGCCCTAAAAGCCCTAAGAACCCTAAGAACCCTAAGAACCCTAAAACCCTAAAACCCTAAAACCCTAAACCCTAAACCGTTGAGGTTGTAAACTCGATTGCCAAAATTCTCAAGCCCACCCAAAGCTCCTTTGAGAAAAAAATTAAAAACGAGCAGCTGAGGGTTTAGGGCTCGGGGCCTAGGGCCCCCAAACCCTAAACCCTAAACCCTAAATGCTAAACGCTAGTCCTAAACCCTACACCGTTAGGGCTTGGGGTTTAGGGCCCTGCGTTCTTGGCAATCCTCATCTGCCGCTGCTGGCGTTTGCGTTCCAAGGGATCTGGGCCCAAGCTGGCCTTCAGAGGGGGCTGCCTCGGCTCCACCTTGAGGAGTTTAAGGGTTTAGGGGTTTAGGGGGTTTTGGGCTTTAGGGCTTCAGGGTTTTAGGGTTTAGGGGTTTAGGGTTTTAGGGTTTAGGGGCTTAGGGCTTTAGGGTTTAGGTTTAGGGTTTAGGGTTTAGGGTTTAGGGGCGTAGCGGCTTAGGGGTTTGGGGTTTGGGGTTTAGGACTTCGGGGTTTAGGGGCTTAGGTCTTAGAGGCTGTAAGGTTTCGGGAAAACTAACAAAGGGATTGTGACAATGAACTATAGAACAGGCTTCTTTAAATTCACATATTTGCTTAAGGCTTCTCTAAGGGATGCTGTACTATAAGTGTACTCCATAAGGGGTTCTTGACAGGGGTTCTACAGGGGTCTCAGGGGCTCAGGGCGACAACAGATAAGAATTAGCATAAGCCGTTTGGAGGGTGCGGTATGTTACATCATGGCAAACGAGCTATCAGTGCTATGAGGAGATACGCTTTTAAGCTGTAAAGGAACCCTTAGAGAAACCCTTAAAGGAGAGACTCGTCAGGACTCAACATGTCTCAGGGTTTAGGGTTTTAGGGGTTAGGGCTCGGGTTTTGGTCCTGAAACACTCTCTCCCCTCGACCTCTGGATCACTCAGTGCCCAGTTGGTTGCATCGTCCAGGTCCAGCATTCGCTCCAACATCGGTTCGGGCTCCGACGCTGCGCCACCCGGGCTCTGCGGCTTCTTGAGCGGCTCCTTTAGGGTTTAGGGTCTAGGATTTAGGATCTAGGATTTAGGGTTTAGGGTTTAGGGTCTAGGATTTAGGGTCTAGGATTCAGGGTTTCGGGTTTAGGGCTTGGGGTTTAGGGTTTAGGGTTTAGGGATTAGGGTTTAGGGAGGAAGCCTGCACAGCATCAAGCTGCGGGGCGTTTCGCAAGTCGCGGAGCAGTTGAAGAACCTCCGAGACGCACCTGGCCATGTCGTAGAATACTCAGATGGGCCTAGGCTTTAGGGGCTTTAGGGTTCGACTGCAGAAAAGAAACTGTTGTTATTAATATAGTTTTTATTATTATGATTATTATTATTGTTATTAGTATTATTACTATTATTATTCTTCTTACTATTATTATTAGTATTGTTATTATTTATACCATTCTTAATACCATTACTATTGTTAGTATGATTATCAATATCATTACTATTGCAGATCCACCCACCTGGCCATGTCGTTACTCAGATAGTTCGACTGCAGATCCACTTCTTCCAAGCTCACGGGTGCAGCGCGCAGACTTTCGTCCAGGCAATCCTAGGTTCCCCAGTAACCCCTTAATAATAAGGGTTGAGGGTTTAGGGTTTAGAGGCAATCCTAAGTTCCCCAGCTACCCCTTAATAATAAGGGCACCTTTTTCCTAACATTCTGCTTGAATGAAGGAGACCCCAAAAATTAAAAAGGCCAAAAGGGTACCACTGGGGAACCTAGAATCTCGGCCCTGGGCCCGCAGAAGCCGCAGCAAAGGCAGCATGTCCTCATCGGCTAACTGCCGGTGCTGCAGTCTTGTCCCTGAAACTAAAGCCCTAAATCCTCACTGTACCCTGGTGGTTTAGGGTTTAGGGTTTAGGGTGTATAGGGTTTAGGGTTTAAGGCTATGGTTTAGGGTTTATAGGGCTTAGGTCTGAACCCTGGGCTTAAACCCTACTGACTCAGTGAACCCCTTCCTGTCCTCATCTGTCAGGCGGAGGTGCTGCAGGCGAAGTATGCGTAACGGTAAGCCAAGAGCCAGCGACCGGGAGATGCAAGACAGCAACCCCGCTCCCTTGTGCATGGACCGCTTGCCTCTGGCTTCCGCCCTGCTTGTTAGGGACGTGCTAAGCGTTCGAAACGTCTTCCACTTCCAAAACAGAGAATAAAGGCCCAAATAGATCCAAGCTTGCCAGCTAATGCAGGAGCCTCAAAAAAAAATTAGACTAGGGTTTGGGCTCCTGTGTAGTATAGCTACAATCACGACCTAAGGAATAGTATAGGTAAGTCTTTAGGCTTCTAGATTATGCAGTCCTCGATGCCGTTGCCACAACCACCTCTGGGTTCCCAGACAAATCGAGCAGCTGGAAGGGAGCCGCCAGGTGCGAGGCGCAGAGCTGCGCCCGCTGCTGCAGGAAAGTGTCAAGCAAGTGGGTGTCCGAAAGCTGGTTCCAGGCCTCGAGGGTTGATTGGGGTTTAGGGATTAGGCTTTAGGGGCCTTTAGGGGTTTAGGGTTTAGGGTTTAGGTTTAGGGTTTAGGGTTTAGGGTTTAGGTTGGGGCGCCGGAGTAGGCTGCCGGGCCTCCCCCTATTCAACCTTATTAGCTTCAGCTCTAGAAAGGAGCTCAAGAAACTGGTCTACCAGAAGGACCTAGGTGCGACGAGGAGTGCTTGGAGCTTTGGCAGCTTGGCACTCACCAAGACGGGCAGAAGCCTGGGTTCTTGCTTGGGAGCTTACAATAGAGATCTCGTAGGAAACAAGAGGGTCTCCTCATTATAGTGAATTAAAGCAGGCTCCGTAGTTACCATACTGGTGATCTATACTACCATACTGGTGATCTATACTAAGAAGTAAAAGAATACGGTGACCTTGTTGTGCCAACTCAAACTCAAATTCCTCAACAGAAGCCCAGAGGCAAAGCGAAGCCGCGATTGCTCAGGTGGCATCCCGATAGGTTCAGCCACTGCAGCTCCATCCCGCGGTGGTGGAAAAGTGCTGCCGAAAGAGGACTCAAGCAAGAAACTGGGTCCATGCCTCTGGGTTCTTGTTGGGGGACTTAAATTTAAGCTACCATACTAAGGAAACCATATTATGGCAACGTAAACTAAATCCTCTAACAAGAACCCAGCCCTAAACCCTAAACCCTAAACCCTACACCCTAAACCCCAAACCCCACTTGTGGCTCCCCAAGAACCCGGGCCTACCAGAATAAAGAAACCTTATTATTCACTATAGACCCCTATTATTATGGTAACTTAAATATAAACCCCCTAAGAAGAACCCGGGCCTAGCTGCAAGCTTGACAAGTCCAGGACTTCCAGACGAGATCCTCGCGCGGCGAGGAAGACGGCAAGCGCGCTGGCCAACCTGGGCTGCCGTTATAAGGAGGGTTTAGGGTTTAGGGTTTAGGGTTTAGGGTTAGGGTTCAGGGTTTAGGGTTTAGGGTTTAGGGTTTAGGGTTTAGGGTACTTTAAGTTAGCATAATGGGGATATATGGTAATTAACAGAGTTTCCTTATTACAGTAACTTCAGTTAAGTAGACCCTAAACCCTAAACCCTACACCCTAAGCCCTAAACCCCAAACCCCACACCCTAAGTCCTAAAACCCCAAACCCTAAATCCTAAACCCCAAACCCTAAACCCTAAACCCTGAACCCCAAACCCTAAAACCCTAAGCCCTAAACCCTTACAGCAACCCAGCAACAGGCGCAGCCGCGCCAGCTTCGGCTTGGAGCAGGCCCGGTAGCCCTTTTGCTGGCTTCCAGCTCGTGCCAAGGTGCGGAAGAACATCATTCCTGGGGTTGCTGCTTACGGGTTACTATGTAATGACCCTAAACCCCAAACCCTACACCCCAAAATCCTAAACCCTAGACCCTAAACCCTGAATCCTAAACCCTACAACCCATATATCCCATTAGTGTAACTTAAATCAAGTTCCTTAACAGCCTTAACAGCAACCCAAGTTCTGCTCAGCGGTCTCGTTGAGTCCAGGAATTGAATTTCACAGATTCCTCGAGGAGCCTCCCGGAGGAAAGTGCAGGCGGCTGCAAAAGCCGGGTGGGAGCAAGCCCCGAAGTCCAGCCTGGGGACCCATAAGTGGGGTTTGGGGTTCAGGGTTTAGGGTTTAGGATGTAGGGTTTAGGGTTTAGGGCTGGGTTCTTGTTAAGGGATGTAATTTTTAAGTTACCATAACAGGGATCTGTACTAAATAATATGGTTTCCTTATTATGGTAACTTGGGGACCCATGAGTGGGGTTTGGGGTTTAGGGTGTAGGGTTTAGGGTTCTTGTTAAGGGCTTTAATTTTTAAGTTACCATAACATACAGTTTCCTTATTATGGTAACTGAAATAAAATCCCTTAAGAAGAACCCAGCAGCGCGAAGACCCCATGCTTGGCAATGCCAGCGGCCGTCTGCCAGCTCGCCTTGCTTCCACAGCGAACACAAGCCTCGACATACTGCGCAGCAGTAGAGGCAGCGCCCGACTGGGCCCACTTTGGCTGCCTCTGTGCTGAAGCCATGGGATCATTTTAGGGTTTAGGGTTTGGGGCGGATAACTACTATTTGACCATGCTCATGAGTAGTTTAGGGTTTAGGGTTTAGGGCTGGTAACTACTATTCACCATGTTCATGAGTAGTGTCTTTCCTCTGTGGGTGGTCTTGCTTACTAAATCTCAATGCTTGGGAGCCTGCGCTGTGTCGAGCCCAAACCAGAGGCCCTAACACGGTTGATTGATGTACATCCTGCATTACGCATAATAAGGAATATACCATAATTCCCCAAAGTTTAGGGTCCTTAAGGTATAATGCAGGATTTATATCATCAACAGTAGGATAGTATCCCCTGCAGAACAATTATGGCAACCCTTACACCATCCCCCATATCACCCATGTACTAACCTGCGTGTCTCTTGGACCTGATATGATTTGGCTCATATCGGCGCAGCTTCGCTCTCCGTGACTCTCAAAAGCAATCCTGGCTCGGCATCGGGGCGAGGGTTTAGGGTTTGGGGCTTTAGGGTTTTAGGGTTTAGGCTTTAGGGTTTAGGGGTTTTAGGGTTTAGGGTTCAGGGGTTTGGGGTTTTGGGGTTTTGGGGTTTTGGGGTTTAGTGCTAGGGCTTCAGGGGCTTCGATTGGCAGTGCTTGCGAACACACGCGAACCGATGCACGGAGGAAAGATTGGCATCCCGGCGTCCGTCATGCAGCACGCCGTACTGGTCCAATGTGAAAGCATCATAGCCTGCACTGCGGCCTATAACCTCAAGACTACGGCTTTAGACCCTAAACCCTAAACCCAAAACCCTTGAACCCTAAGCCCTAGACCCTAAATCCTAAGCCCTAATTAAACCCTAAACCCTAAATCCCCAAGCCCTAAACCCCTAAACCGCTAAACTCTAAACCCGAAAACCCTAAACCCCTAAACCCTAACTCCCAAACCCTAAACCCGAAAACCCTAAACCCCTAAACCCTAAATCCTAAGCCCTTTAAGCCCGAAACCCCTGAACCCCGAAGCCCTAAACCCCTAACCCTAAACCCTAAATCCCAAGCCTTTTAAACCCTAAGCCCTAAATCCCCAAGCCCAAAATCCTCAAGCCCTAAACCCTAAACCCTAAATCCCTAAAGCCCTAAACCCTAAAGCCCTAAAGCCCTAAACCCTAAATCCCCAAGCCCTAAAGCCCTAAATCCTAAGCCCTAAACCCTAAATCCCTAAACCCTAAATCCTAAGCCCTAAACCCCTAAAGCCCTAAACCCCTAAACCCTAAATCCGAAGCCCTAAACCGGACTCTAAGTCCCAATGAGCCTCAGACGGCGCAGGTTTGTTGGGGGGTAGCAAGGATCCCGAATCAGAACTTAGGGGAGCCTTGTAGGATTTTAGGGTTTAGGGGCTTGGGGGCTTAGGGGTTAGGGTTTTGGGTTCAGGGGTTTAGGGTGTAGGGTTTTAGGGTTTAGGGTTTAGGGTTTTAGGGTTCAGGGTTTCGGGTTTAGGGTTTATGAAGCACACCACATGCAACTAAACCTTCTCCCCACAAGCCCAAACTCCTAAATCCTAAGCCCAAACTCTAAGCCCGAAGCCCGACTTCGGAACTTAAGCGCGAATGCTTAGCGTAAGCTTTACATGCAGGAGCGATTTAGTGTCTCGAAGTCCTTGCTTGGAAATAGGGACTGGGATTTGGGTCCTTTGCGGTCTTGGGCTTCGCACACTCCAACATCCCTTGGTTGAGGTCCCTTGCTTGGATCCCTACTATACTTTCAGGAAGAATTCGTCAAGAGAATCTCGAAGATCTCCCTAAACCCTAAACCCTAAAAAGGAGATTCGAAAGGAGTTGACAAGGCGCCATTTTGTAGTAAGTACCCCCGAGAGAAGGAAAACTCCCCATGTAGACAAACCCGCCATTTTTGTAGGGTACCCTATTAGGTTTGGGGTTTAGGATTTAGGGTCTAGGGACTAGGGTTTATAGGGTTTAGGGCTTGGGGCTTAGGGGTATAGGGTTTAGGGGTTTAGCAGCCACCGCACCGCTATCTACACTGAAGCCTTCCACCAGAAACCCAGAGCCATTGTCCTAGAAGCCCAAACTGAGAGAAACAAGACCGCCCTCCGTCCGAATCCCCACACCCCATAGCCGAAACTCTACCACCCCAATACCCTAAACCCTAAACCCCCTAAACCCTCCACCCTCCCTAGAAAAAGAAAGAACACAAGCAAAGCCCAAGAGCAACTCCCCCGCACCGGGCTCCGGACTCTCCAGCAGCTCCGACATCCCCGAGCAGAGCCGAATGCCATCCGCCCTGGCTTAGGATTTAGGGCTTAGGGTTTAAGGTTTAGGGTTTAGGGCTTAGGATTTAAACTTGGGTGCCTTTTTGTTTGATTTGTGTTGGGTTTAGGGCTGTATACTTGAAGCGTCATAAGACTTAGTAAGTATGGTAAAAAGTACCTTAATTGGGGTTNNTACTAAGCCCCAGGATCCTTTAAGTAAGGTTTAGGATGTAGAGTTTTGGGAGTCAGGCTCCTTGGTTCAGAGTTTTGGGTGTTGGGCTTTGGGCGTGGGGCCTTGTGCGCGGCTTCATAAAAATCTGTATCCCGGAGGGTTCATATAGACTAATATTGAGGAACTTCGATTCCAAAACCATACCAAGGACGTTTCTATGTCCGCCTTGGGTGTTGGGTGTTTGGGTTTTAGGCTCAGGGTTTCGGAGGTTTGGATCTTAGAGGTTCTTGAAGGTATAACCAGAAAACGGCTCTGAAAATTGCTGTGGGTTCTGAAGGCTTCTCTATAACAATGCTTTTCATGGACCCTGGCTACTACAAAGGCCAGGGTTGTTGGAACAACTCTTCGCGTAGGTTTCGCAGAGCTCAAGAAGGACTCTTCGGCTTTGTTTACATCTTATTCAAGATTAGATAGGGAGTTGTGGGGCTGTTCCTTCTACGTAAGATGTTCAACTCTCTTCTCAGCATGTACTATGTACATGACTAGGAATTTGTGCTGCTAGGGTCTTGGCATGTCGCAAGGGTTTGTGCAGGGTACTGCGGCTCGTTTACACATCTTACCTACCTGGTGCCAGCAATCGTTCTGCTGCGACTACTGCTCACCACTACT